TCTGCAGGCCACACAGGGCTGTAACGCAAGCACCCAGTAACCCACAGCACCCTCTAACACCCCCCTGTCCTGCTCAGACCCTGCATCCCCACCCTGCTCTTGCACCCTCCCTCACTCCCTCCTGGGGTTGCCAGGTGTCCGGTTTTGAACTGGACAGTCCAGTATTTGAGCTTTCTGTTCGGGAAACAAATTGAGAAAATATAAATGTCCGGTATTTTTTAAGTAAGATGGAATGTAGATTGTGATGTCATGTCAAGTGTGTCCGGTATTTTTGTTGAAACCATCTGGCAACCCTACTCCCTCCCAGGCTCTGCACCCCTCTCAGCCTGTTCCTGTACCCTCCCTCCCGCACACTGAACCCCTCATTTTTGGCCCCACCCAAAGCCTGGAGGGGCACAAAATCTACTAGCTCTGGGCCCTCAGAAGAGTTAATCTGGCCTGGGGGATAGTCCTGAAGCTCAGCCCCCGTCTGGGCTGGAGCACAGGGGAGTGAGGTATCTCAGTTGGGGGTCACATAGGTGAGGGCTGGGGGCAGGGATTGTTTCTCACTTTTCTGTGGCCCCTAACTGATTTTCCTGTGGGTTACTGGCCCTCCACCCAATAACGGTTTCCCACCCCGATTTAAATGAACACTATCAACTTGAATTTCAGTCAGTTTAAATGAAAACCGAGTCCAGTTGTTTCAGCAATTGCCATTGTCCCTGATTCCTCAGGAAGTTTTTTCTGGTTTTATGGTCATGTGTTCCTATTTTCCTCTTTTAAAATAAGCTTTCTGTGCTAACGCTCTAAACCAGGGGTGGGGAACCTCATGCCCGTGGACCAGGTGTGGCCCCCAGCTTGCCTGGATTTGGCACTCCAGTGTCTCCCCCCCCCATTTGTGTGCGGCCCCAGACTGATTTTCTGTAGGTCAGCGGCCCCCAACTCAAAAAAGGTTCCCATCCCCTTATCTCAGCAAACAAGAGGGGAAACTGATTATCTAAATGGGAGAAACAGGAGAAACTGACTATACACAAATATCCAAGGTAAGCAAACAAGAAAAAAGAGATTTTGTTTTTCTGATTTACTGTAATAATGCAATTGTCACGTTAGGTCTTCCTTACTATTAATGGGAAGGGGGTTAAAGATAAAGGTGGGCAGAAGTGCAGCTTTAAATTGATAGTGTCCTTTTTAAAAACAAAGGAATCAGAATTTTAGTGCAGTTTTTTTTAAAAGGGGTGCACATTCAAGCCAGCACACAATTGCATCTGCATTTTTTGAAAATTCAGTGAATTATGGACACTGATATTACCAGTTAGACACCTACTCAGGAGGCCATCTTGAGAATCTGTGCATTTATCAGTCTCTCTAGTCTTTTGTGACTGTGCTTTAACCACAGAAATCAGCATAATGTCTATTTAATATCCGCTGTGTACAGAATTAGTGTTTTGTAAACCCTAGTTAAAAACTAACTGAAGTCCTTGGGAATATAGTTACAGAGAATTATTAATTCTAACAAGTGTGACTTCCATGGTCCCATCAGGCTAGGCAGAGCAAACCCTTTGGTGATACAGATCTGCTACTGCTAGTAGAAAGAGGAAAATTATTATGTCCGAGAGTTCCAGTTTGGAGTAACACCAGACATTCTTGCCTGCAGTTGATTTGGCATTTTAAGAGGAAATATTAAAAATAAGTATCAAGCAAAGAAGTGCAATTTGTCTCCATATTTGATTTTTTAATTAATAAATTAAAAAGATTTTTAAAATAATCACAACCCTGATTGATCATACTGACCATAGCTTACATTATTTATTTATTTATTTATTAATAACTCAGTTGTTTATCTTAAAACTTGAAAATAAAGCATATTTTCCTGTCAGTTTTCTCTTTTTCTGATTTGACAATCCTCAATTCTCCTTGTATTGAATCAAACTGAAATCAACATGACTGAACTTACTTTGACTTATATGACTTGAACTTACATGACTGGGCTTATTTTACTTTACTTTGTCCTTACTTTGACAGATACAGGCAGTCCCCGACTTACGCGGATCCGACTTATGTCGGATCCACACTTACGAACAGGGCTTTTCTCACCCCGGAGCTCAAGGGCGGCGGGTCGCCACCCGTGTCCTCCGGGGCGAGAAAAGCTTCTCCCCATCTCCCTGGTCTGCTGGGGGGGTCCAGCAAAGCTGCCCTCTCAGAGGCAGCAAGTGAGGGGGAGGGAAGGGAAGGGAAGTGACTAGTCGAGTCTCTAGTCGACTTTCCAGTAAACATTTGCTTATTGGATTGTCGACTAGTTGATTAGTCACTTACATCCCTAGATGTTGCCAGACCACAGAGTGCCAGACTGGAGAGGTTCAACCTGTATAAAGAAGATCTGAAAGTTAGTGTAGGCTTTTTAATTTAAAAATATCAGGCTCTGCCTGTCTTGTCAGCGGGAGGTTTCCTTAAGGGAGCAGGGAAATGGGGGACAGAAGTGTTGAATCTTTAACAAGGACATTTTTCTTCCCAATTGTGTATGAGCTTCTTGTGTTGAATACATGTTAATGAAAAACAAATAGAACACAGTATTTGAAAAATTCTGACCAATTAGCTTTCAATCCTGTTACTCAGCACAGTGGTCCCCAATCATTTGAGATTGCCGGGCGCCAGGGGACGTGGCCGTTCGCCCACTGGGCGCCAGAGGGCGGAGACACTTGCGCGCCTGGGGGCATCTTCCAAAGGATGTTCAGATGAAAAGACTGTGGGAATGATACTCCAGTCAAATTGACTTAGGTTATTGAAGCAATGTCTATTATTTGCCTACTATCCTTTGCCTAACTGAGAACTTCTAAACTCACTCCTGGCTAGAATATACTCATCTGAGAGTGGACTATAATTTTTCCCAAATACTACTTCCCATATACATTTTATTTTAAAACCCTGTCAATTTTGAGAAGCTTGCCCTAAATTTGGAATCAGAGTTTCTCCCTCTTTGCCAATCTCCCTGATTTACATTCTAGCTCAAGAACTAATGTCAAAATATAATCTGTATCAGTGGTCCCCAACCATTTGAGGCTGCCGGGCGCCAGGGGGCGTGGCTGTTCACCTGCCGGGTGCCAGAGGGCAGGGACACTTGTGCGCCCGGGGCCGGCACCCCCCTCCAAGTGCCGCGCGCCCAGAGCGCGGGCGGCTAATCCGCGGCGCTCCCGGGGCCGGCGCTCACCGTGCGCCATGCGCCCGGGGCCGGCTCCGGCACCATGCATGCGCCACATGCCCGGGGCCAGGCCAGTCCCGAGCACTTGGCAGGTGCACACAAATACCCCCGTGTTGGGGACCACTGACTCAGCATTTGTCATCACCTTACTAGTTTTCCGGTTCTTCACAGATTAATATTATTGAACAAACAGATGAGGCGAAATCAGAAATTCTAAAGTAAAAACAAGAAGGAAAAAAACATTTCTTTAAAAAATAAAGTACTGTCAAGCTCACTTCTACATCAAAAAGAAGCAAAGAGCAATGCAAACCCCAATTTTATGTTCTTGTATTGTGCAGGTCGCCCTTTAACATTTTGATTTATGCCTGCTATTACAGATGACAGTACAGCAGTGCCCATACTATAGCTGTTTGATATTTTGGTCATGCCAGTGGAATACAAGAACATCATTAGGCCATTGCTTGTGCAAACTGACAAGATTTCTCTGACTTCAACACAACTTCGCTGATTTATTCCAAGCTGATTTATTGTGGCCCACTAGTTGATGAGCTTATGCCAGAAAACTAGTAGCTGTGCTTTACTTTTTATTTCTCACAATATAGGCTAAGTAATATTCCACATGCAACCAATGCCTTAGTACTTTTCTCTCTTGGAACTGTTGTATTGCTCTGAATGTAGATTAGCAGTTGTCAAAAGACTTAGTAATAGATCCTCAGCTGATGCAAATCTGCATAGCTTCCTGAAGTCAGTGGAGCTTGCTCTGATTCTTTGATTCTGTCAAAAACATTTGAATACTTCGTGGTTATTTGTCGTGGCCCTGGCAGAGGCTCCTAAGCAGGACAGCGTGAGAGAAGGTTGCATTGCTCCAGTTTATGGTTTCTGAAACCGGTAACTAAAAAAGGAGTTTCATCCCTACGGCAATCAACCTGACACCTCTGACGAGTTCTCAGTTCCCATTAATAATTGTTTAAAAGGAAAAAAAAAGAGTCTGCAGACACACTCCTTACTATGTTTTGTTTTCAAACAGGAAAAGCCAACAACAATGTACAGTGGGATGAGGACTCCGTAGAATACATGCCTGCCAACCCAGTCAGGATCGCATTTGTCTTGGTTGTTCATGGCAGAGCTTCTCGGCAACTCCAACGCATGTTTAAGGCTATTTACCATAAAGACCATTTCTATTACATTCATGTTGACAAGGTAATATATCACTGGTTATAAATTGCCTGTCTCATCATTTGTCAATCTGTCCCTCTTTGTCACCTTCTCCAACATTCTTTTTATCTCTGCTGCATACTGTATGTATCACTTTTTGTTTTTCCATCTGTCCTATGTTTTATGCCCAACTGCAATTTTTTTTTAAATTCTTTCCTTCTGTGACTGCCTTCATTTCTCCTTATGTGTCTATGGTATCTGTCAGTGTCTGTCTGTCATATGTTTTGTAGTGGTAACTGATAAGTCATTGTAGGTTCTGATGTACAATTTAAGTGCAATCAGTGTTCCCAGGCCAGATGAAAGAGAATAAAACAGAGGACTCCTGACACTTTCAAATTAGCTTGCGCTGAATGAAGGGATGTGTTCTTTAGCACCTCTTAGGGGGAAAATAGCAAGCAAATACTGAGTTTTCCAAGATAAATATTTGCGAGATAAATTACCAAATTCCAGATACCATTCATAATTCTCCGTGTATTTAAAGCAGTTTTACTTAACATAAAACTGACAGCAGGCCAAAATAAACTGATTTGAAAAAGCTCAGATTTTAAGATGTTCAGATGGTTAGAGAACACAAGTGGAAAGGTTCCTTTTATTTTATATTTTTTTTCTTAGTCTGCTGAACATTTTACTTTCTTTCCCTGTAAAGCGATCCAATTACCTACACCGGAAAGTGCTCCAGTTTGCTAGCCAGTATCCGAATGTGAGAATCACCCCTTGGCGAATGGCAACCATCTGGGGAGGAGCAAGTCTTCTGTCCACCTATCTACAGAGTATGAGGGATTTAATTGAGATGAATGACTGGCCCTGGGATTTCTTCATTAATCTTAGTGCCGCCGACTATCCTATCAGGTATGGTGAGCCCTTTTAAAAATGTATTTTCCTTCCTAAATGAACAATGGAATTTTAATTGTACATAAGGCCAAAATTTCGGTATTCTGACACAAGACGCAGAGGAACATTCAACCAAGGCACCAGTTTCATCAGTCCCTATCAGGAAACTCCACCCAGTGGGGCTTTCAATGCAGTAGCTTTCCCAGATCTCAAAAAGAAAAACATCGGTCCATTGTCATTGCGTCGGCACCATCACTTTTGCCACCAAGGCAATGGCACCACAAGCACAGAAAAACCGTGTGCACACCATTTTCCTGCCACTGCCTGTGGCTATATGGTTCAGGAATGTTGGTTCTTTAAGTTGTGAACCTCAAGCTTGAAGAGAATTATTGCACTCAGAACTCTGGTAAGCTGTTTGCTGTAGCCGGCCCTTGTGTTTCAATAAATTTGAAAAATATGCATAGAGATGGATTCCATCAAAGAAACATTGTGACATTTCTTTTTTGGTGCTTTTTCTATGCAGGATAATGATAGTAGAATGACAAATAAGTTGCTGGGAGTCTACAGCTGTATCTTCAGCACCAACTATTGCCTGAATAACTTTAGTCAGATGGCATCAAACATCGAAGTTCATAGGTCACCACATGACTAGGCTTGTGATTCTAAATGAAGCTATATTCTCTCTGGATTTACAAATTCATGCTCCACAGCTGTATTCAATAACATTTACTAAACTGTGCAAAAGTTGATTCTCTGTTTAAAAAAAAAAATCTAAATGTGCTTCAACAGTTATTTTTAGGCTATAAGAATTATGAAGAACAGAAAATTCTCCTTTTGATTTTTACTCCCCGTTGTGTCAGAAGGAATTAAGGAAGGGGAAGTGGCTTTGTTGGGTAACTCTTCTAACACATGATTGTGCCATAAAGTGTTCCTGATAATAATAGCATCTTATATTCCATTTTGCTCTGTCATAGCCTTTTATCTCAAAAGCTTCTACATCAGCTCAAAATCAGGAGCCAAGCCCTGAAATCCTTACTCAAAAACTCTCTTTCAAGTTATATTTGAAAATCAGTGGATGTTTTTGGGTGAGTAAAGATGTAGTGAAAATTCAAAAAGGGCTTAATTGTTTGGGCGTTATATATATCCACTACCAAAGGAATACAGACAGCTTTGTGGAAGTGAGTAGCAGTCAGGAAAATAACTTGGAAAAGCAAGAAGCTTAGACAGTGTGTTTGTAGTCTGAACAGAAAGATTTGAAATATGAACTCAAGGTTTTTAAATGCCCGATGATTGAGACTCTTTCTCTAGCCTTGGGGGAACAAATATGACTCATCATTCCAGCTATCAGGTGGAGACGATGATCAGCTCCCTACATTCCTGACTTAGTTGTTTAGGAACACTAAATTATTTCTTAATTTAGAACACTTTTTCAAGACAAGTACTGCTATACTGATCCCAAGCTGTAGTGTGACAGAAGGCACAGCACAACTAATGATGAGGGGAGAAAATAGGGGATATATGGTCCAAGGACAGTCTTTACAGTGTGACAGATTCTAGGGATCTGCATAGGGATGGATTTGATGTCAGGTGCTAAAGCTCTGAAAGTACAGTGTAAACTAATTCAGAGTTATTCTAATAGCCACATCTTGATAGCTCTACCAATGATATATGAGGGAATGGTCAGAGGGACTAGAGATTGATGACATCATGTCAGCTCAGGGGTCTGTATTAGGACGTCTAAGACTGGGACCATGATCTGTAATATTCTGTACTATATTTAGTTCTCTCTGGGGTATGTTTAAATAGAAAGCCAAAATTGTCCCATGGCCATAAATTGTCCCATGATGTATAGTTGAGATTTTGGCCAACCTTGTATTAATAGAGTCACAATTGTAATATGGTGTTATTTAATGTTTTTTCAGCAGTGGAAGCCCTAAACAAGTGCAGCTAGAGAACAGATATTACAACACATTTTTCTTCCCAGCTATGGAAATTCTCTTGAAGTTCCACTTCTCTGCTGTTTTGAAATCACATCTAGGTTTTCAACTGTAGGCCACTGGTCTGAAGTGTACACTTCCCATTTCTGTCACAATACTCTAATTTCAGAATTTACGCAAGCATCTTGAAGCTGTACTTCAAAAGCACTTTATTTTAATGGGTTTTTTTAAAAAAAATAACAGTTATAGGTACAGATAAATGAAATTCAAATACATAATTTTATCATTATAAATACACATTTTTCAAAATGGAGATGCTATAAATTTGTGTTCTTTAGCAAGGCATTTCTTACACGGCTGTAAACCATGTAGGAACCTGAATATTAGTGCAAGAAATAACAAGGAGCGGATTAGGGGTTCTTTTTTCTTTCCTTTAGATTCCATGTGGTGATTTACCAGCTAATGGACTAAAAACAGTTTACACTTCTTACTCTGGTTAGTTATATTGCAATTGTTTTGTTAGGTTTCCCCTCATAAGAACATATGAATTTAGTGGATTAATGTATTTTTCCAGGGCAGCTCCACATTAAGCTTTCACTTCCCATCTGCCATTCCATCTGTGACAGTAAAACCCCTAGTCCTTCTCTTCTGATAGATGCAGGCTAATCCATCCTTGTGCGACAGAATAATGCACACAATAGTTCAGGATCCGCAGCATAGTGTGAAGCCCAAATCTCTCTTGACGGGTTGCCTGATGTATTCACAGGTTACAGTGCATTTGCAAACACCTCTCTCTCATTTATCCCCACAAGAATTATCCAGAGGTAGGTGTTGAAAATTATTAGAGGCATGAGAAGATACCACATGAGAAGTCAATGAGAAGATTGGAACTATTTCATTTAGGGAAGTGACAAGTAATAGGGAACATAATAGATATGTGTAAAATAGTAAATGGGCTGGAGAAGGTAAACCCAGGGGGTCCTACTCACCCTTTCTCATACACTAATACGAGGACTATATGCTCTTTGGGGCAGGGACTTTTGTTCTGTATTTGTATAATGCCCAGCACAAAAGGATCCTGGTCCAACACTAGAGTTCCTGAGAGCTACTGCAGTGCAAATAATAATAATGAATGTAGTACAACAAAGAAACATTTAGCCAAATTTGTAATCAAAACACTTTCCTTTAATCACTAGGCAATTGGCAGTTTGAAGTCCTGCATGTCTGATTCTCAGCCATGTGGACCAGCATTACAACTGACTCTCTTGTTAACATCCTAAATGTCAGGCTCAGGGATTAATTGCCAGGCAACTGAACTGCATTCTCCCCCACTAGAAGTGGTCCTTTCAGGACAGGAGTGGGTCAATATGGGGAAGCTGTCATTGCCTCTCTTTGCAATGTAGGTTTTCATGAGTAGAGGAAATCAATCTTTCAGAACCACTACTTTCATTCAGAAGTAAAAGAAACCGACTGACCCTCCTGCCCTTTATTTCAGCTTAATTCATATTGCCCTCTTGTCATCATGACCTAAAAATAATTTCCAGTGGGAACCTTGGTTAGCAGAACCCAGTGGAAAAGGTATCCGTGCCCTTAACCTCTTGTTTTATATGGATACCAATTTGCATTATTTATTGTTTCAGACAGACAGCATCAGGCACCCAACCTTATGTTTGGGGACTGAAACTTCACTGCTAACAAGATGAACTACAGCAGGGCAACTACTAATGTTGAATGTTTAATGTGCATTGCAAGAGTCCTTAGAAAATGTGGCAGGTGGAATATTGTTCCTCTCAGAGTAAAAAGCTAAGTGAGTTTATTTAACAGCACGTGTCAGATGTCAGTGCTTTTCTGGGCACAATGCAGATTCTGATTGCCAGCTATTGCATGGTCTTTTAATTAAAGGTCAAACAAAGTTATTACTGTAAGTCTTGAAAACACAATAGAGTGGTCACAAGATACAGTTGCTTATTATAGGAGTCCATAATAGAGGTTTCTCTACATTCTAGACTATTATATGTAACTGGGGCAAGAAATGCTGACCTTGTATTTTTTTTAATCATGTGTATAGTGCTTGGCACAACATGCCCATGATCCCTGATTGTGCCCCCTACCACCACTATGATACTAAAAGTGAATAATGCTATGTGAATATCTGGAAGTAGTGCAAGGACATTGCCATATCTTGTGTGAGCAGACTAAATCGGCCTTCAGGAAATCAGGTAGGATTACTGATTCGATTCAGTTCAGCTAAGGCTTCTGCCATGTAGAAGAGTCTCCAGAGTGGAGCGACAGGATCCTAGTACATTTTAAAAGTTACTTGGGTAAAGGTTCTAGAAAATATAGGGAATGATCTTGGCTAGGACTGTTACAAAAGATGGTAGATGATAAAGTCAGTGGAACTTAGTGAATGCACTGTCCTCTGTCATTCTATATACCGTTAAGTGCATGGTATATTGTCCTCATTCCTTTGTGTGCTACTCATATACATGTCAACAGGTAAGGCCCAATGTTATCACGAAATTTAGCCAAGCACTTAATAAAAAAAATCTGAGACTATTGCTTAAAATTATTTGACATTTTGATGTATTCTTTATAATTAACAAGTATTTGCAACTTTTATCCAAAGATCTAAAAGCACTTTATAAACATTAATGAACTTCACAATACCCTGCATAATCGGAAACTTTATTTCACAGATGGGTAAATAAACACAACATTTAAATAGTTCTTTCAAATGCAAATAATTTTTTAGCATGAAATAAAGACCCCTGACTCTTGCTATGTTCACTAGGCCAAGCTTCCAGTTGTTTAAGAGATTTGTAGTATTTTTAACTGTCCACACAAAGTGGATCAACCTTCTCAGAATAGTAAGGAAGCTTTCTTCACTCATCTACCTCTAGTAAGTCTTTCACATCTAATCATGTATAGAAAATAGCTTTATATGCTTGGTATATCATATGCCCTCAAATACTTGCTTGGGACATCAAAAAATGAAACTCAGAAAACAAAATGGCTTTGAGAAAAGTCATTATTTAGAATTCTCATTTCTGAGCAACCAGATTAAATCATATTTTGGGAACT